ATCCTTTCTGATAGTCAGTGTTAAGTTTCTCCACATTCACCCTTAGGTGCTTCCGATCATGGTTTGGTCTCTCTAAAACTGTTATCTCATTCTTCTTTATCATCAGAATACCCTTATCATTGTACGTCTTACAACTACTTTTAACTGGTTGGGACTCTTTTCATAATTTTCTTCGGGAAGGCCCTTGAGTAGAAATTTTTCGTCTTCCTGTTAACAAATGTGCTTGTTACATAACTTCGTGGATTCAGGCTGGCATGAAATCTTTTATTCCCTCTTGACGATTCCAGGTCAAGCCTTACTCTTTTCCATGGTTTTCTTTACATTGTGCTACTGCAATTTCCAATTGAAACCGTTACTTCTATATCTACCAGCAAAACAGTTCTTAAGAAAACAGACATCTGGTTACTATTGCTAAAAATTACCATTTTTAAAAAGGTTTTGTCTAACGCCAAAGCTTACTATTCTCAGGTCATAAAACCTTGTATTTCACCACAAAAATTAGGCTTTCGTGACTTCTGGAGAATCTTTAATAGTATCAATAATAAGAGCAAATCTGTAATTCCACCTCTCTTGTATGGTTTAAACTTTATTACCTCACCTAAAGATACAGTTGAGTTGTTTGCTAAGAAATTTTCATGAATACCATCTCTTGATTCCACTAGTTGTGTTCTACCTGATATAGCCATCAAACAGGTTGATCCATTGCTTGACATTCGTATCACTCCAGTTTCTGTATCAAAAGTGATTTCCTTCTTTGACTCTTATGCAGCTTGTGGTCCAGACAACATACCTGTTGGAATCTAACAGAAGTGTTCTCCGTAGCTGTCATTTATACTATTAAAACTATTTAACAAGTGCTTATGAGAATCTTGTTTTCCAGCATGCTAGAAAGCGGCATCTGTTAACCCATTTTCAAAAATTCTGGAGAACGATCTGACTCTCTAACTACCGTCCCATTAGTCTTTTTCCTATCATAAGTAAGAATTTTGAATCTTTAATTAACAAACACTTTATCTCTCGTCTTGAATCTAACTTCTTACTTTCTGATAATTAATATGGATTTTGATCTTCTTGTTCTACAGCTGATTTGCTAACAGTAATAACCAATAGGTTTTATCGTGCATTAAACATTGGTGAAGAGGTTAAAGCTATTGCTCTTGACATTTCTAAAGTTTTTGACAAAGTTAGGCATGCTGGTCTTCTCCATAAGCTTTCTTCTTACGGTGTATCTGGTTACATCTTGAAGATTATTGAGTCCTTTCTTTCCAATCGCAGTATAAAAGATGTCTTTGACGGACAGCACTCTTTTTCATATCCTGTAATTTCAAGGGTTCTTTAAGGTTCAACCCTTGGCCCTATACTCTTTTTAATTTACATTAACGATGTTTCAGATATTCTCACATCTTAGGTGGCTTTGTTTGCTGATGGCACTACCATTTATTCTTATCATAATAAGAATACTCTCTGATTGCTTGGAGGGGGCATTTGAGCTTGAAAAAGATCTTACTTCTGCTACAGCATGGGGCTCACGGTAGCAGGTGAACTTTAATTGAGATAAAACTCATTTTTTTTAGCCAATTGTTATCGTGGATTTTCCTATATTTATGAGCGGTTATGTACTCATGAGTCATCTACCCTTCATCTTTTAGGATTCTTACTTCCGATCTTTCTTGGAAACCGTATATCAAATCCAATGCAAATTCAGCATTTACCAAGGTTGCATCTCTTTACCAAGCTCAACACTTTCTTACTCCGCATTCTATTCTTTATCTATATAAACCTTATATCCAGCCCTGTATGGAATACTGTTGCCATATCTGTGGCAGATTTTCTAATAATACTCTTTCTCTTTTAGACAAGGTGCAAAAACGTATTGTTAACATAGCTGAATCTGCTCTTGCAGCCAATCCAACCATCATCGCATTGTCGTAATGATGCTTCTCTTTCTTTTTTCAACAAATACTATAATGGACACTGCTCTAATGAGCTAGCGTCTCTTGTGCCATCTACTAAAATTCACTCTCGTGTTACACGTCATTCAATTAAGTGTCATCCTTTTTCTTTGACTGTTCCTAAGTGCTCCAAATTAAAATAATTAAAAATATTTGTCTAGTTTTTTTTCTAGAACATTAGTTCTTTGGAATTCGCCTCCATTTTTCTTTCTTGATTCAAATAATTTGCAATCTTTTAAGTCGTCTGTTAATTGTTATCTTGCTCTACAAAATTCATCTCTTCTCTTCCAGTAACTTCCAACTCTTATAGTGGTTGGTTACAGGCTTGTTTGAAGCAAAGATGTAAAAAAAAAAAAAAAGTAATATGTGTAATGTGGTTTGCTATTAAGCGCTCTGAAAAATACAAAGATGCTTGTCAACTTCTGTAGAAAATTATTCGATTAGTCAAGTCAAGTTCAAGTTAGCTATATTCAGAGCATTGTTTTTATAAACTTACAAGGAAACTCATATTGTTATCTGCAAGAAAATTTCCTGTACTGTATGCTGCTAGATGAAAATTTGAATATAAGAAACCAAGCCCTTAACCAAATCCCTAATATATGTGCCTTGTGTATAGGATTGACTTAAACAAAATACATCTCATAGACCTACTCAGTTAGAGTGAAAATTATTTCTAGATATGGTAGATGTTTCTTTTTGTAAATCAACTTAGTAGGTTAAAGTTGTTGTAGTTCGAACTATGCGACACCAAAATTATTGATTTTAGAGGCATTCATATTGTTTCTATCATTTAACTAAAATTAAAAATGAAATATAAATGCTTATTTAAGGTGGCACACAACCAAAAAAAAGTAAGTTTTTTGAGAAAATGAATTTTAAGATTTTTTGGTATTTTGATTCTATAATTATTCCTCCAACATATAATAAAAAAATTATACTCAAAAATAATATAAAAGTTGATCTAACAGCGTTTTAGTAAATAGCGATTTTTAAAAATTTCCCTAACAACGCCTTAGCAACCACCAAACATTAGAGTTTTTATGAATTCAAAACAGGAAAATACCATCTCAAACTTAAGTATAATGTGTTATATGCAGACTCTTAGTTTTATAAGTCATACTTCAAACTTAATTTAGGAACAGGAGTGTTTTTTGACTGATAATGTTTATTATGTTGAAGCTTTTTTCTCATTTTATATGAAATTATATGAAAACTGATTTCAATTTAGTTAAAGTAAAATTATTTTTAAATGAATAAACTAGGAAATACAAGTAAAAGAAATTTATCAAGAAGAATAAAACGAAAATGGAAAGGTATTGTTGCAAATAAAAAATCTAGCATTTCATCATCTTGCACCAGTAAAACAGCTAGTAGCTGTTCTAGTGAAAGAAAAATTAAATTAAACTGTTCGATTACATTTGACTCTGAAAAAGATTTTTTTTATTTATTAACTTTTCAATTCTCAAAGAACATATAGGTAAAACTGCATACAAAAGTTGCTTTCAGTTATTAACTTTATCAGATGTTGATTCCAGTAAAAAAGGGTTTGCACATTTGTTGCAGTTAAAATGTGATCACTAAAACTTCCTAACAGAAAAGGTAACCTAGCAGAAAAATGTATAAATTCTATGCAAAATTATTATGGCATGGCAATTCATCAAAATGTCAACAACTTGTATGCTATGAAAAAAGCAGTTTATACTAATTTATTTCATTTCAACAATTTTTAAAACATGCAATTCTTATTTCTGCATCAGTTTTGCCCAAAAGAATTGAAAAGTTGGTGCAAATATTAGACTCTTAATCTTAATAATTACAAACCAAATTTGTGTATACCAATCTTGATTTTCTAATCATTAAAGATCTTCAAGCTGATGATCTTCTAATTAAATGTTTGCATGGTACAACACAAAATCAATTATATGGTCTCGCGTTAAATGTTTGCATGGTACAACACAACATCAATTATATGGTCTCGCGTACCAAAGCACACATTTGTTAGTAAGCCTACAATTAAATGAGAACACACTCCGTAGTTCTACATTATAATGATGGTGCTAATGATATAGTTTTAAAGTACTTTGACCTAGATGGAATTGTAACATTAGCTTTATCATGTAAAGTTGACAAAACCAGGATTCTACGTATGAAATAACCGAACTCTGCCTATATAATTGTTTATTAGAATATAATACTTATTTTGACCCTCAGATTTTTAATGCAAAGCTATAAGATGAAATTTGTAGTTTATAGGGTTAAAATTATTGATATTTTATATGTGCAGTGATATTGTTAAAAACATTTTATATGTGCAGTGATATTGTTTTTTGAAATAATTTGAATAACAAAAATTCCCACGGTCAAGCAGAATAAAATATGCTTAGCAAACTATGTACAAAATTTTAGTTTGAATCATAATGGCAAAATTAAGTTATCAGGTTTTAAAGTTTTGCTTCAAACACAGCTTTTACCATGTATTTTCAGCCATTATGATTTTTTTTTAACAAAAAATTTTTTTATAAACTTTCTTTTATTTAATTTTTTTATAAGTTTCTTTTCCTCAAAAAAAATTATTAAAGTTTTTTACAATTAAAAAAAACACTGCTTTCAGTTGTGTGCCTTAAATGTTCTTGTCAACAGCTTTATAACACATAATAAGCAAATCCACCCTTTTTTTTTAAAAAAAAAAATTCAGTTGTTTTTATTTTAATTACGGTAGTCAGAACCCAGGGTTTAACAAATAGAAAAATTTTTAACTTGTGAAAATAAAAAAAAATCTCCTTGGTTATCATAAATTTTTATTTGTATTTTAATTTGAATTTTAGATTAATGGGCTTCGGGAAAAAAAAAAAAATTTTTTTAAAACCTCCGTGTTAATTACAACATTTTTTGCAAAAATTAAATAATAATAATAATAAAAAAAATGCGCTTACGGTTGTCAATAATTTTAATAATTTTTATATAAATTCTGTTCTCTCCCCTCCCCCACCTACAAGGTCCTAACATAAACAATTTTATATACTTGAATAACCCAAGACAAGAAAAAAGTAAACAATATTTTTATTCTTTCTGTTTTAAATAGAAACCCGACAAATAGATTTCGACAAAGTAAACGGCGTCGACAAGAATGAAATATGAACCTCAAATAAACCAATATTAGTGAAAAATAAAAGGTTGCATTTGAAACATTAAAAACATCTAAAACAACTATTAAACATAATTAAACCGCACAAGATTAAAAAACGGCAATAGTAAAAAACAAAACAAAGGCATAAAAGAAAACAAAAGCCAAATATGGTTTTAAAACAACCATTATGCACACATCGAAAGAAATAGAATATGAACTCTGGAAAGCATTATTTACATAAATAACTAAACATAAATATTATCAACTAACTTTTACACACAAAAACGAACAAAGACTATTAATTAACTAAATATATTCTAAAATGTTTTTGATTTTTATTTCTACTGTACAAAACATAACAATGAAAATACGGCGTTGAGTACAAAAGTAAAAAACATCATAAAATACTTAAAAGAACACATAAGCTTTATAACACAAGAGCAATACATCACACTTTTTACATGCACAAAACTGAGTCTGAAACACGACAATAAAACTACTACACATAAACTGCTTACGGATAAAACGCCAACAAAATTAAATACTCATGTATTAAACATGTTAGATTACATATAAACATTAAAAAATAACTCAAGAGAAATTTCTGACAT